TCCCCAACTGGGTAAATGCGCAGCAGCCCGGAGGTGCGGGGAGGGGGTGCTGGGGGTAGCTTGTGTTAGGGTTTTTTTTTGCGGGTGGGGGAGAGATTACTTGGGGAGGGGTTGGGGGGGCTGAAATTCCCAGAATTCCAGGGTGTTAGCCAATCAGAAGTGAGTCTGGACTTTTGACCCCCCCCTCAGGTCATCATAGAGTTGCGATTGGCTGGTTTGGGTTGTCCCCCCCTTTCCCTGCTGCCTATTCCCTCTTAAGATCCTGTGACACCCCCTCCAGGCAGTTTCTGAGGACCGAGTTTGGGTGGAGGGATTAGTTGGGGCCCCCCTTACCCCCTTCCAGTGTCCCTGCCTGTTGCCAGGGAAGGCTGGCCATCCTGAGGGACGGGAGGTATTCCTGGGGGGAGAGGGGCAGATAATTGGGCCCTGGGGCCTGGCATGCCCGCCCTCGTGAGAGGGGGAATGTGGAGCCCCAGGCAAAATAGGAGCTACTAGAGTGATTTGTGAGAGCTGAGTTTCGGGGAGCAATGCTTGAACCCAAAATAAGAATTTGAGAGAGAACTTAGGCTCAGATCCCTGCCTCCCCAAAACACTGCTCTTGCCAGTGACAGCCTGGATCTGAGTTCTTCCGTGGGGAGGGAAGGCTCCCCTTCACCGCCTGGGGGAAGAGAGAGGCGCTGTGCCTGGAGAGGTAGTCTGCAGGGGGCCTCAGAACGCCGTCGCTCCACCTCCCCAGGACGCCCTCCTGTCCCAGATTGGAGTTAGCTTTCTTCTGAAAGTCAGGTTTCCCTGAATCTAGTCTGGTTTGGGTCCTTTGCTCCTGGGATGCTCTGTTTTGTGGGAGGCCCATACCCCACAACTGCCCCTCCCCCCCCATCCCCAAGGGAAGCTGCCAGTGAGGAAGCTTCCTTGAAAATCATGTGACCCTGGCCAAACTGGGTTGGGCACACACTTAAAGTGCCTGCTGAGGCTGATGTGTAGGGGGCCCAGGGCCCAGGAGGAGGGCTAGGGGAGCCTGAGAATCCTGGAATATCCGCGTGTGGGGGACCCCTGGCTCCTGCTGCAGAGGGTGAGGAAGAGGAGAGGAAAGAGCTTACGAAGCTGGAATCCTGCCCAGTCCCATCATTCTTCCTCCTACCAGCTTGGTGTGCATATTTATGTGTGTATTTTCTTTATAAATTGCTCCATGCTGGGTGCCTTGTTTGGATCCATTCATGCTCTGAGTCCACCCCATGGCCTTGATTCTCCGTTGCCACACACGAGCATAGCAGAAACGAAGGCTCTGGACAAATTAGAGGACTGAGTCTTATATTTTGATTCTGAGTTCCTACACATGGTGGGTAGGAGGTGGGTATGGAGGGGTTGTCAGGCTGAGGGTAGATGGGAGGTTGGCCCTGAAGTTGAGGCAGGGGGCTTGGGTCCAGTAGAGAAGGGAGAAGGTTTCCCCCAAGCCTGTAGTGTAGCAGCATGGGGACAGGAAGAGGACTCAAGCACCAAGAGGTGGGAATGGGGGGGAGGGGCATATTCAGTCAGTGCCCCCAAAGGCATGCTCCTTTCTTGTGTCTTGACCTGGTTGTGGGAGAGGAGGCAAAAGATGGCTAAGATTGGGGAATCATTTACCAAATGTGAAGAAGTCTTACGGATTGATGTCACAGAGGGTGGATGGAGGTTAAAGGAGAACCACATGAAGAAGGGCTTGGGAGGGCCCTGGAGGTGGGGAACGGTAGGAGTTGGGGTAAGAGAGAGGACCAGGCTTGCATGGGTGGGTGGGAGCACATGGCTGAACACAAGGGCATCGTGGCAGCATGTACAGCCCAGGCCCAAAGACACCCCCACCCCCACCCCCACCCAACCTGAGCAGCCCTAGGGTGGGGGTTGAGGCGCCCTGGCAGGCCGCCCGCCTGCTGCCTGCCTGCCTGTCTGAGTCTCTCCTTTGTGCTCTGCTGTCTCCCAGCTCCTCCTCCTCCCCGAGCCCAGCAGAGACAGCACATGCCCCACACATGTGACTGAGGGAAGCCAGAGCACACGCAGACCCACACACATGCACACCACAAGATACACATACACACACACTCAGCTCCCATAGTGCTCCTGGGGTGGGGACTAGCTTCTGGGTCTTTGGTCAGGGACAGGTAGAACCTCTGCTGAGGGGCATCACCCTGGGCAGGGCAGGTTGCTGAAGGGGCCAGGGCCTGTCTGGGGCAGCATGTGGCTCAGAAGGGTTAAGGCAGGGAGGAGTGGGGGGAGGGGAGGAGGCAGCAGTGGTGGCGGCTGGGAGCCAGGAGAGGAGGATGGCAGAGCGCCAGGCCAACGGGAGGCCGGGCACAGACAAAGGAAGGGGGGCAGGCACACTGGAGGCCTGGGTCAGGGAGCCCCAGGGGCCCGGGCAGGGGGCAGTGCTGGTACATTATCCTGTGGGCTGGGGCAGGCTGCTGCCCTTCAGAGTTCTCACCTCCAGGAGGGGTGCTCTCCCTCTACTCTTTCCTCATCACCTTTGTCATTCTTTGCTGCTCCCTGCTCATTCCCACCCCAAATTTTAGGGCCTTCTAATTCAGACTTGTTCTCTTTAGCTGGACCTCTCCTGCCCCTGTGCAAGTGAGAGAATTAAGTCAGAACATAGGGAGGAGTAGACTTGCTAGGAAGGAACTAAGAGAGGGCCCGTTTTGGATGATATGCCAGAGCTTTGGTGTGTCTTGGTACATAGGGGCCCTTCTCCCCAAAATTTGAGGAGACAGACTGGGTCAGGGTTCTGAGCTCTGAACTGGAGCAGAAGCCAGAGCATATACCTATACCCCTTCCCATGTACTAGCAGACACGCATTTGGGGCCTAGAATGGGCATTCCTTGGAGGGGGAAGAGAGTAGGAATGGCTGCAATGCCCTAGGACTGGGCTTGGGTGAGTGAGGTTAGAAACCCAGGATTCCAAGCTCAGGCCCTTCTGTCTTATTATAGTCTGTTCAAGTTAGGGTAATATTTGGCTCTGTGTGCTGTAAGGATTTCTTAAGGTACTGCCTATGAGTGCACTTTGGAAAGTTTAAAGGCACTAAACAAATGACAGGAATTGTCAGTGGGGGAGGAGTGTGGTTATCCCAGAGTTGAACTGTAAATTTGGGAGTCGGTGGGAATGTCGCAAGTCCTGGTGTAGGCAGTATTTTGCAGGGTCTGGCTGAATGTCACAGATTTCGATGTTTGTGAAAGCTGGGGTGTGTCGTGGCCAGGCTGTGATGGAGAATGCCGTGCAGGTTTCAGGAAGTGTGGTTTATGGGGTTCAACCCTGGATAACCAATGGTCAGTATGTGTATTTAATAGTCTGTCACAAGTTCAGGAGGTGTATAATGCACTTTTGGTGTGTATATTAGGGAATGTGTGTCACTAGTCACAGTGTGTATGGAAGTCAGGGTCTTTAATAGACTGTGCATGTGCATCTTGGGTTTGGGTTTATTTAGGGTTTGAGGTTTATCACTGGTTAAAAGTGTGTATCAGGTGTGTATCAGGTACTGATTTATGTGAAAGTGAAATGTGTTATTTATGTGTGGAGGATGTTCACAGAGCCGGGTGCAATATTATTTCTGCACAGTCAACTGGTGTGTATGTTGTGGGACTAAGTGTGAATATGGTGGGGGTGGGTAGGAAGTAGGGAGCAGCAACTCCGCCTTCAATGAAGTAGGAGGTCATATGCTGCCCCCTCTAGCGTGTGTGTGTGTGTGTGTGTGTGTGTGTGTGTGTTTCTTTTTTCCTATCTGTCCAGGGAGTAGGGTCTGGACCACTACCCAAGTTTTAGAAACACCTCCTCTCTTGGGATTACCCTTGGCATTGGAGAACAGGTTCTGCTCCAGTAACTACATATCTTTTTTACTGGGGTGTTGGGGAGGATTCAGCCTCAGACTAAGCCCCTTCTGTAGACCCTTGGTTGGGCAAGCGTGGCTTTGCGCCTCTTTCCCCTGCACCCACGTGTCTCTGGTGGTGGTGGTGGTGGTGGTGGAGGTGGAAGTGGAGGAAGGGGCCTCCTGCTAAGGCAGATCTAAGTCAGGGCTTGGAACTTAGCTGGGTTGGGGGCCCAGGAGCCTGGAGTGTCCCCCTCCCTCCAATCAGTGTTTACAGGCTGAAGTCAGAGTTTATCTCTGTCAAAAGTAACCCCCTGGAGACTCCCCCCAGCTAGCTGCTCTGGGATTTCACCAGGGGTGGCAGCCCAGACCAGTGTTCAACCCAAGAGATCACAGAGGAGAGGCAGAGGGACTTGGGGCACCTTTGGGAGGCAGTTTGAAGATACTGGGAGTCTCCAGAGGGGAGGGCACCCTCCTGCATCCCTGCCTGTGGCTTTGGCTCTCCTGCTCACTCCTGAGCACCTCATGTGAGTTGGGGAGGGGTCGGTGAAGCATCTCAGTTCCTGGCCCCCACCGGCCTACCTTCCATCCAGGTCTCTGCAGGCCCCGTCTGTTTTGTTTCCATCTCTCCATCCCAGTCTCTCCCAGTCTCTGTCTCTCTTTGTTTTTCTCAGCAGTCCTCCAGGCCTGCCTGCCTGCCTGCCTCCCTCCCTCTCTCCCTCCCTCCCTCCCTCTCTCCCTCTTCCTCTTCCCCGGCTGGGAGGGGGCGGGGCCGGTGGGGGCAGCTCCACCCTCTGCCCGCCCTGGGGCCTCATTCTGAGAGAGGCTCCGAGAGCGAGCTGGGAGGGAGGGAAAGAAAGGAGGAAAGGCTGTGAGCTGGTGGGCGCTGTGTGTGTCTGTGCGTGTGCGATTGTGAGTGAGTGTGAGTGCCGGGCACTGCCTCTCCTGGTGCCCCCGCAGAGGGGCCTGGTGGCCTGGGGAGGGCG